TACGACGACACTACTACTTAGTATTACTTGTCTACTACTTTTACTTTCCTAACCACGACTCCTCCTTCTTCGTAAACTAAATAATAGCACAAACGACCACTACCTAACTAACTACTCTCTCTCTCTCTCTCTCTCTCTCTCTCTCTCAGGACCTGCTGCATGGGCCAGCCCGATATCTTCCAATATATGCATGAAGTAATGTTTATTCGTTCATTAAAAAGAAAATGGTGTTTAACCTTGCTGGTTTTGAGGCCAACTCAACTCATATGTGCCTAACCACGATTGCTAATAATCAAAATTGACATTATAACATGCCCAAATCACACAGACAATGACTAAGAAATGTAAAAATTACCAATCAATTAATAGGCATACTATAATGCGATCTCTAACATCAAGGCTGCGTGCTGCACATTAAAAGACTTCCATAAGCATAATTTTTCCTATGAATATGCAAGGCGACCAAGATTGTTATGACCCTGATCGTATCTACAAAATAGAGACTTTCCTTTCGTCGAGACATGCCAACAGCTATTTCCATGGATGTACTAGGAAAAATACCATGGATCACCGTATCTTTTTTCTTTGATAACTAAATATCCCTTTCTCTTGTATTTTCCCTTTTGAAGTCCATATATTTGTAAAATATATACAACTAAAGCCACCCATCATGCAGCCTTTCACTCCAAGAATAAAACTTACAAAGAGAAGAAACCATGCCTAACCTTTGTCCTGCATTGCCCGATTATTTCAGATGCGCTTTGGTGGAACATATGGCACGTTGTTGTCTTCACATACATTCTAAGGAAAAAGAGAAGAAAAAACAATTGAATATTTTCATTTTAAGTGGAAGTAGAAAGTAAAGAAAAGAAAAAAACTTACAAGGAGGAATACTTTTTCTTTTTGATATAAGAAAAGGAAACAAGAGTACACATTGTGTGCACCAGAAGATACATAGGCAGGCTACTTGTCATCGTAAAGACACAACGGAGATGGATGTAGCTTAGACATTTTCTTTGTCATGTCCTTGTGACGGTTTGTTTCCACCGTCTATCGTTGAGAATGGACAGTGGATGCCATGCCCGTGAATCTTCCAGTATACACACAATGTGCATACCACATTACCACTCTGAAAGAATAGCTTACATCTCAAATAGCTTACATCCGAGGACACCCAGAAAACGAAAAATGAGTGACAATGCCATACAAGATTCATGTGACCAAGAATCAACAGATGCGGAAGAAATAATTATTTGTTATAGTTACAACATATAGAATCTCTTTAGTTGTTGAAGGCTAAATTAAAAGTTTAAACCATTTAGACCTGGATTGGATTTGCACAAATGAAATTTAGTTTGCGCAAACCCAATTAAATTTCCCATTAGGTTTGCAGATTGAAAAAGTAAATGCACATCAAAAACCCACAAAAGCAAACCGTACTTAAAAGAAACTAAATTAATTGGTTTATGTGAGTGCATCTCTCAATGTTATACATACTTGAGAATTTTTCGGGTTTTGAAATGTCAGCAACCTAAACTAAAAAAAGTATACTATTATCATTATTAATATTATTGTTATTGTTAGTCCTATTCTTATTGTTATTATGAAAGAGCAAAATTTCTCAGGGCTGGGGCATTATCAATTATGAAGATCGCTTGAGTGGTAAAACCTGCATTTCATCTGAGAGTTGCTCTGAAACAGCAAGGGTATAGCAACCAGGAACAAATTTTGCTGCCAGCGACAACAAAAATATTAGAATCAAAACTACCCTCAGAAGCGAAACTAATAGACAAAACCATGCAATCTATGATGTTCTGGATAAAATTCAACTACGCACACTATTAAAACTTACATAAATGCGCAAGTATGGCCAAGAAAGATAATCATACTAGAAAGTCATATTCTTGCGAATGCAATGACAACAAATAATTGTTTTCCAAAGCTATGATTGCCAATATTTAGAAAAACAAAATACAAAACAAAAAGCAAATAGATTTCAATACGATTCAGATGTGCTAACATAGTTTTTCTGGAATAGATGCCAGTCAATGAGTCAAAAAAAAAAAAACACAATAGAAGTAGAGTAATGGATAAGAATTATGTGTAGTTGCAACAACATTCAAACATTAAAAACAGAAGAAAAAAAAATCCCAAAAACCTTTAGATGTTTTATTTGGATGAACAGATCCCAACTTAACTCAATTAAAAAGATAAAAAACCCTCAATTTACACTCAAAAAAACTTTAAACAAGTACCCATAGCTTTGGGAGGGAATTTCAAGACTCTCTCTCTCTCTCTCTCTCTCTCTCTCTCTCTCTACCTACCTAACCTAACCTAACCGTACCGTACCGTACCGTACTACGTACTACGTACGTTACGTTACGTTACGTTTACGTTACGTTACGGTTACGGTT